TAATTAGATGATTGGATAAAGCTAACAACATAGGAAATACACAAAAAAATACAAAATTGATAATACACAAAAAATAAATAGCTCAATTATGTCAAAACTAAGTGGAATTCAATATTCTAAATTAGGATAATCAGATATGGGAAACTTTGTTATATTTTGTCCTGCCATACTTTAGAATTTTATATGTTTAATTATGAAAGCATTCCTTCTCTTATTCATTATTCACCAAGCATTTATTGATTCATTGAGTGTGTGTGTGTGTGTGTGTATTGTGTATGGTATGTATGTTCTAGGCAGGCACTGAGGAGAATTTCAAATGATTACAAAATGAGGCTTTCTGTGGAAGAATTGACAGGATAATGGAAGCCACTGACGAAAGTCACAGAAAGTCACAGTGTGTCAGGATGAGCTGTGTTAGAGGAATAGAGCTCTGGAAACACTGAGGTAGGAACATGCTGAGTATACAGGATGAGCTATTAATTTGCAAATGGGTGGGACAGAGGTTAGAAAACAAGCAGATTACTTAGAGGACTTTTAGGAGGAGAAGGAACAGAATTTTTACTTTAATTATTTAGATAGTAAATAACTCACATAACATAAATGTACTCCATTCAGGTATACACTTCGATTTTTAGTGATCCATGGTTACACAGCCATCACCACTCCAGTTTTAAGTTTTCATTACCTCATGCCTATGAGCATCTACTCCTTCCCCCAACCTCCCAGCCCTGAGCAGCCACTACCCTGCCTTCTATCTCTATACACTTACCGTTTTGGACGTCTGATGATAATAGGCTTTTGTGTCTGGTTTCTTTCACTTGGTATGATGTTTTCAAGATCCATTCATGTTGTAGCATGTACATGCATTTCATTCATTTTTATTGCGGAATAAGACCTCATTGTATGAGTATGCGGCATTTGGTTTGCCCATCCCAGATGATAGATGTTTGGGTTGTGTCCACACTTTGGGTTCTGTGAATAATGTTGCTGGACATAAACGTTCAGTTCTATTGGACATATCCATGGGCTACAAATGTTGGTCCATGTGACGACTCTGTGTCTAATATGGTAATGAATGGCCAACTTTCCTCCAAAGTCATGGCACTGTTCTATTATGCCCCCCACCCACAGCTCATGAGGGCTCCGACTTCCTCACACCATTGTCAAAACTTGTTATTGGCTGGGCATCAAGTTGTTGTGAATGAAAATATAAAGTCATTAAAATGGAAACATTTCCAATTAGGCTGTTGTATTCATTTAAGGAAGCATGTACACAGGTCAGATGGCACTAGAACTTAAAGCTCAATGTCACTTTGTAGCTCTGTGTACAGAACAACTCTATTAGAGACTCGTTATCTTGTCACATTCACCAGGTGGTTAGGGAATACTGGTTTTCTCTTATGTCTAATTGAGAGGTGGGGAGGGGCTTGAAGTTATTATGTGTAATGATGTTGGAAGTTAAACCCACTTCTGATATGCAATTAAATATAATTGAAATAGGACAAATTGCATAATAAAATTAAATCTGCAAAATACGGTCCGATATTAAATGGAGGCAGTTCTCTAGGATAGCTGGGTGGTGAGTCGCCACCAGGGCTCAAACCCCAGGTTTCTAGTTGGCATGATTCACTGCCCGTACTTGCCTCTTGTGTCTCTCCTTTCCAACCTTGGCACATCAGAGGAGTTCATGAGACAACCCCCCTCAGTCCTCAACAATACCCTGTGCAGAGAGGATGGTTTGATGTTCTCTAGTCCTATGGGACTTTCCCACACCCAGACTCATTTTTCTGAATCTTGGGGAGCTGGCAATGACCTTATAAAAACCAATAATGTATATTTATTTGACAGTCACCTCCCCGCCCTCCCCATTCTGTCCAGATTTTCAGTGACTTCCCAGTGCCTATGACTGAATAAGTCTCAGATGCTTACTGCAGCACCCAGTGGTCTTTGTGATCTGCTCTCACCTGCCCCTCAGCCTCAGTTACTGCCACCTTATCTGCACAAGATGGACTGCCCAAGTGCAGCAGGCATTGACGAAGGTACTAGCTCTGGGACATACACAATGGTTTAGGCAGAGCAATTGGGGATGGGAAAGGGGGGAAGCTACTTTAAATCGGGTGGGTGGGCCTCATTGAGAAAGTCTCCTGGGATGAGGGATCTGCCATGCCCATATCTGGGGAAAGAGATTTCTGGGTAGAGCAAACGGCCAGCCACTGAAATTACCCATCATGGGTTAAACTGATAAAAATCCCAGGCCTCCAGGCAGTTGACAGCCCAGCTTTCTCCACTATTCTCTTTCTAGGCAAATACCTATTTCCTGTAGATATTTGAAATTCTAAAAATGGTTTCAAGACAGATCTCTCCTTTGCTCTGTCCCCTCCTGACACTTCTATTCAGCACACACTTTGTAGATTATTAATTACCACGAGTCAGGAATTACTTTCCACCTAAATCACATGGATCAGATCTTCCTTCTCCATCACTAGATCTGGATTTACTGTCTGTGAATTACTGTTCAATTTGTCCACCATCATCACAGGATCAGTGATGCTCCTGCTCCTCCTCCTGGGACACATTCCTTCTGCTCTAGCTTCTCTCCCTTGTTAATTTCCATCCACGTTGTTTCTGTTTTGTGTCAAATCTCTAAATACTCTGTGAATTTTTCATCCATTTGATAAACCACAGCAAAGAGCTATAGGTTCTCCTTCACCTTCTCTTCTGCAATTTGAGAAGGTCGTGCGTGATACTGTGCTTTCCAAAGAAGAAACTTAATGCAGCCCTTGAACTCCAGCCAAGAAATCTTTACCCCCCTGCCGTGTTTTCTGCAAAGATTTGAGCTTTAAGGATAAGTGCTTTTAATCACTGAAATTTGTAGAGGGCTTCCCTGGTGGCCTACGGATTAAGTGTCAGCATTGTCACCACTGCAGCCTGAGTTTGATGCCTGGCCAGGGAGCTGACCCACATGGCGCAGAGACCTCTCCTGTCTCACCCTCTCCTGACCTCCCCTCAGCAGTGTATTTCAGTGGATCCGCCTGTTCTGCTCCCCACTCTGTCCCTGGTGAGCCCTCACTCCCCTGCATTTCTGCCTGTGTACACCCCAATTCTTGCTACATTGACTTCTGTTTTTCACTGCTTTCTTTTAATCAGTATACTTTTGTGTAGGTTGATTTTATATTTCCAAGTGGTTTTGGAAACAAAGACTAGTCTATTTGAATGTAAAAAGAAGAATTGCCTCAAGACCTGTCAATGTGAGCAGCATATATATTTCTGCCTTAAATTTGTACTTTTCCCCATTCTCATGTCTTTTATTTCCATGGATCAGCAATTTTAAATGTCAGTAGATATCTTGTTTCCTTGGAATGTCACACTGCAGGACTTCTTCCCAAGTTGCACTTCTTAAATAGAGATGGTGGAGGTTTTGTCATTTCATGCTTATAAGTGAAAATTGTTCTGGGAATGTATGACTTATGCTTGCTTTATGGCTAGTCTTGGTTTATAGATGCTTGAAAGGGCGTGCAAGTGTATCTCTGGGCTTGAGAGAAACTTATTTCATCACCTATTCTGTACTTTACCAGTGTATCTAAATTGTAGGTTGGTGCTTTTTGTTCACTTTTCATTTATTTATTTATTTATTTTTTGTCAAAGTAATAGCTGCACGTTAGTTAATGGTCCAATAATATTTACAATATCTTTTCACAAAAGACAGTATGCTATTACTCTCTTCCTACTCCTTCCCACCCTTGTTGGTATCTTTCATTTTCATCACCAGTGATTTGGGGGTATTTAATTTGAGTATTTTGCATCAGATGGTTATCTGGATAGTTCCAAATTTTTAATTTTACTGTTTATTTATTACGAAAGGTGAGGGGTTAACCTGTAAACACCTTGTTATCCCAACACGATCAAATATTATTGAAAAGGTAACTGTATTCAGAGGGAAAGGAAGTTATCAACTCTAAAATACTATGAGTGTAATATTTGAAAAAACAAAATATTGACTTTTCATAATACCTTGCCATAGGACTATACTAAGTGCCAAATGTAAAGCTAATAGGTGTTTATGAACATAACTTCACAGTATGATAGGATTAGAAGTCTTGATTTAGCTACAGCATTAAAATAGCTGATGAAAAATCTTCACTTACTCTTACTTACAATAGTCATATAAGCGAGTTTTGTTTTTAAGCCTTACTCCATTAGACTCTTAATCATCAAACATCTTATAGAAGAAGAGCTGAAAGTTTAACCTGGCTTACAAGAGCAAAAATACTAAAGACTGAGTGTTCTGAGAATCCTAGATTTCCATGTAAAACCTCACAAGGGAAAATAGTAACTGCCTCAGATTGAGAAATGGAACCTATTTTAAGATAATTGAAGACTGTCTTTTATGTCTTCTCTTGGTTCAATTTTGATTTCGTGTACTTTTTTTCTCTCTTAATTTTTTTCTTAATATACTCTAAAGAATGCAAGACACTTCTGAGGATCTCATTACTACTTATGAAATTGTTTTCTGTACCACTGGATGTAATTTTTCTTTTTTGTCAGTCATTCTTACAAGAAAAAAGTGTCTTTGAATTGGCTGTTGTATCTTATCATTGTGACAGTAGCAATAATCCTAAAAGTACACTTTGTGAAAGTTTAAATGCACTATTAACAGTTTCCCTTAGGTGCATATTTATACACAC